CAGGTGTGCATCCGCCCAGGGGCCGGAACTCAAGGACACAGGCCGGTGTCCGCGCGCGGGGAGAGTGCGGATACAGCGGGGCCGCGGGGGCAGCGCGGGCAGTGAGCCGTGGATCCCTGAGTGGGGCCTGGGTGCGGCCAGCTCCCACTCCAGCCTCCAGGCTGCGGGCTTGCAGCCCAGTGCCCTAGGGTGCTCTCAGAGCTTGCTCAACGCGCCTGCAGACCCCTCCCTGCGTCTCCACACCTCTCCCCCTACCCCCACTGGCGCCCAGGCCTCTGAGACCAGCGCCCCACGTTCATGTCCCGGTTCGGCTAGGTGTGCGACACCCTCCTGTGAGGTGGACACCCAGGGCGTGGCTGGGCCTCCGTCCTGGGGCCCCCACAATGCTGGGCCGCTCACTGGAGGGCCCCTCGCACCGAACTCTGGGTAACAGACTCTGGAGGCTCTGCTCGCAGAGACCAGTCTGTCTTTTGAGACACCAGAGGCCGAGGCTGGGTCCAGGTCCAGTCTCTGTCCAGAATGAAGCTCACACACACACTGCCAGCACCGCCACCACCACGAAGTCCCAGGTGAGACTCCCACGTGCGCCAGCGCGCCCAGCCCCCGCCCCCGGCCGCCCGGAAGGATCCATGACCCACAAAGCCTTGATTAGCTCTTTCAGCTCCATTTAACTACACAGATGGCTTGGTCACAGCTGACTGGTCCCAAATTTGCCAGTGATTTTATTTTAATCTACCGTGGCTCGGTCCCCCTGTAATACAGGTAGAGGAGGCGTATTTGTTCCCAAATTCCACTCCTGGGGTTAATCACTCACAGAACAAAACTCTATTTGAGCCACTTAATGATTCCGTCTCCACCCTCGGTTTGGAGGAGCTGCAGCTACAATACCAACGTAGGTCCCTCGCTCCCCAAACTCCAGGAGTTGATAGCGGTGAGCTTACCATCGCCTCGTGGGCCAGAGCCCAGAAACGCAGCCTCCTTCCCTCCCTGAGGGCTATGGCTCCCCTCGGCCAGCAGCTGAAGCTGGAACTGGGTACAGGTCTCCCCTCCCTGGGCCCCTGGCGGCTCCATGGGGCTGTTCTGCGCCCACCTGTGGGGCCCCGCCTCCCAGCCTCCTCTCCTGCCAGGCTCCCCACCCTGCCCTGCATTCCAAACATTCAGGGTGAGGCCCAGGTCCCTGAAGGCCTCCACGCCTTCCCGTGTGGGAGTCCCTTTGCAGAGAAGGCCCTTCCTCATGGCTGAAGCCCAGAGAAGCCTCTGCTAAGTGTCACCTCTGCTGAAAGTCGCGCGTTCTCTCAAGCAGAGAAACGCCGCTGCCTCTGCTCTGCCGTCCATGTGCTTCCGGCCACCTTGTACACAGCGCAGCATTGTGTGTTTGCCATCAGCCCCCCAGCTCCCCGAGCCCCTGAGGACGTGACAGGATGTTCCCCCGGCATCCTCGCGCCCAGCTCGGTCCATCTGACTTGAGTGAAGAGCCCTGCACGCTTGCGTGTGTGGGTGTGAGCTGTGCTCATCCTTAAACGAACGTGCTCCAAGGCCTGACACCTGGTCACGCTTCCCAAATGGGGACAAAGTCCCAGCCCTGCGTCGTCCCACAGGCTGACTCAAAGTGGAGGCTGTTCACCTTCAGGGAACCTGTTTCTGCAGGGAAGTGGCACCATCTGGTGGCTTCTGGCAAAATTGGCGCCCATTTGGACCACGGAGTGGGCGCTCTCCCTTCACTGGGCTGTGACCCTGGAGCCCTGAGGCCAGGATATCAGGCCAGCTGAGCCTGCTTCACACCTTCCCAGCAGCATAAGGAGGGGTCAGGAGGGCAAAGCCCCCAGGGCTGCCTGCCAACCTTGTCCCTCCCTCCTTCCCCATCACGGGTCACCCCTCCTCCCTGACCCCACCCGCCAGCCCAGCCCTGTCCGTCCACCCACCTGCTGGACAAGGCCACATCCAGACCCAAACTGGACCTACCTCTTGAGACCCTGCCTGAGCAGTGCCACCGCCAGTTGCACCCCACCTCTCTTCCCCCGGTTCTACAGGTACCACTGTCACCAGGTCACCTCTGTCCTGTCTCAGATCCATCCCACACCACAGCCTGGCTCTGCAGGTAATAGCCCTGCACTGCCCACCTCTGCTGGGACGGGGCCCACACCCCATGCAGCCTGACCCAGGCCCCTCTCAACCGCCTCCTCTGTACCCCTCTTCTGCCCCCTCCAGCCAGGGTAGGCTCTCCCGTTTCCTGTCGCCCCACTCCCCCCTCCGGTCTCAGGGCCCTGCCTGGCCAGTCCTACGGCCACCCCCACCCCCTGCCTCCTCCACTGGATAAGCAGGCAGAGGGAGGGGACGACGGGGAGGGACGTGCAGGGACTAGAAGTGGGGCTGGTGGGCAAGGACCCGTCCTGCCTCTGCCCTCCCCTCTACACTGCCCTGCTGGCCAAGGTCACCACTACCACCACCCACCAAAATGACCCCTGGGCCCAGCGCAGCAGCTCAGTGGTGTGGCCTGAGGCTGCCTGGATTCCAGTCCCAGCCGTGCCAGCTAATGGCTTTGTGACGTCAGGAGAGCTACTTAACCTCTCAAGGCTTCCAGTTCTTCACCCGTAAAATGGGGTGATGATTTAAATAACCCACAGTAAACGCCAGTGCTCATCTCCGGCTACGGCAAGTCCCCCGGACACAGCACCTCTCCTTCACGGCAGCTGTGCAAATGGAGACTTGCCCCCCCTGTCAACACGCAAGTTCCACCAGGCAGGGACAGTGCTTTGTCTACTGCTGTCTTCTCCAGCCCAGCCCAGGGCCCGCACACAGGGTGACCGAGCAGCTGAGAAGGGAGGCCTGGAGCCAGAGGCCAGGCCGGCTCCGTTACTCCTCGGCCACATGCGACTCTGGTCAGGGTGCCCACCTCGTGGTCACATGCTGTCTCCTCGCTGATGATCAAAGGCCTGCTTGGAGTAAGTGCTGAGTCAGTCCCTGGCACGTGGTCAGTCTCAGTAAACACTGGCTGTTGCTCTAGTCACCACTTGATAAACACGTGAACGAGACCTCCAGGCTCTGGACTGTAAGTGAAGAGCTGGGAAGTCCTCACTCACTCTCACAATAAGAAAAAAAGCTGAACGAACGGGAGAGCAAGAACCCTTCCCAGATCCGCCAGAGAACTGAGGTGCTGACCCGGAAGTCAGAGAGACAGGCAGGTGGACAGACTCCCAGCGTGCAGAGCAGACCTCCAGGAACCCGGGCCAGGAGACTCCAGTCGATGGAACTCCGTGTGGACAGGCTGAGTTAACAAGTCAGGGGCTGGTCTCAGGGAGGCTCCCACACTGCCTGAGTTTCCCCTCCAGGAGCCGCATCAGGTTCTCACAGTGACGATCAGAGAAAATCCACCCGTCTCCTAGCAAGAGGAGGGGGACGCAGCCATTTTGAAATACGTCTAGAGCACTGGTTTCCTTAACAAAGGCCTGTCCTGAAGGAACACCACCTTGCCAGAGCCCGCCTAGCTGGGGGAAGGGAAATTACCAACTGCAGCCCCTCCCGCCTCCTGTCTCTCCGCAGGTGGGGGCGGGGGAGGCGCTGAAACATCCGTGTGAAGGGCACAGGCCAGGGCACAGGCTCACCGAGGCTGAGCCCTGGTCAGAGGCTGACAGGACACTGCCCCAGCCCCTCACACCTCAGCACCACGTCAGAAGGGGATTGCAGCTCGAAGAACTGCGAGTCTCAGGCCCCACTTAAGGAGGAATCACTAGGGAAACCCAAAGATAAAAGAAAGGACATGAAAGGAAACTTCAGCCTCTGACACCACAGCTACTGAAGGGAGTAAACACAGCCTGACCTCAAGTCAGACAGAACCTCACGCCGAAGAGCAAGAAGGCGGCCCCTCTGCCTCAGCTCCTCTACCTGGCACATCTCGCCTGCTTTCAACAAAGGTGTGATGAAGGTAAAAAGCACAGTCTGAAGAGACAGCGCAAGCGCCGGGGCCAGACCTGGATGCGGCAGAGGAGCTGGAACTACCAGACTGGGAATTTGAAACAACCTTGATCAGCACGCTAAGGGCTCCAGCGGAAAAGGGAACAACACGCAAGAACACATGGCGGTGCAGGCAGAGGAAGGGGCCCGCCAGCGGCACCGAACGCTGAGACGGAGGAGGGCCTCTGGCAGGCAGCAAGGGCTCGAAGGGGACAGGGGGCGAATCCGTGCGTCAGAAAACGTCAGCAGGAATTTCCCAGGAGAAGGCAAAGAGGGAAAAAAGAACGAAAAGAAGAGGAAAAAGTACCCAAGAACCGTGGGACAGCGACCCAGGCGTAACGTGTGCGTAACGGGGGAACAACACAACCAACAGCAACGAACTGGAGTGGCAGTACTGAGGACTCTCCCGACCACTGCCAGACCCCAGACAGCAGCCAGGAAACGCAGAGCACCAAGCAGGAGGAGCGCCAACACATCCACCAGCGCAGGTCGCGCTCAGACTGCAGAAAGCCAAAGACCAAACCCCCGGACGCCAGGGAGGAGCAGGATGAAACCACCCCGCCCGCCCTCCAGAAGCCCCGCAGCAAGGAGGGAGCGGGGCGAGGGACTCAGGTGTTGAAAGGGGGAAACCTACGCTTCTGCATCCTCCAGAACTGTCCTCCAGAAGTGAAGCAGAAACACCTCCCCAAACAAAACCACTGCCGCCAGCAGACCTGCCTTGAAGGAACGTGAACAGTCCTTCAGAGGAAGGGAAAGGCTACAGGTCAGGACCTTGGATCTGCATAAGCACAGGAAGCGCACTTCCAAAGGGGGAGTAAATGCAGACAAAGCACTTGAGGGAAACAGACACCACACTTCCCCCAGGAAGTCCTCCGGCCCCGCCGGCCCCGCCCTTAATGCTCCAGGAGCCAAGCCGGCACAGCGGCATGCCTGTCTCCCCATGAGGCTGCGAGCCCGCTTCCCCAGAGATGAGCCCATCAGGGGCTTGGGTTCCGATGAATGCACGGCGGCAAAGCACTCACACCAGAGGCCAGGATGGTGGTTAAATAGTGTCTCTTTATCAGCAGTTCAGCAGGAAGACTCCAGTGCTGCCACTGTCACAAGGAAGGGCTCGCCCGCTGGATTCTCTCTGCCCAGGGTGGTTGCTCCTCGGGTCAAGGAGGGGTGGACGTCCTTCCAACACAGGCTGCCCCTTGACCCTGAAGGACATCAACCTGGGAAGCAGGGAAACGCCCAGGGGCGCGTCGTGGAACTGGGATGGCCAATGGGAGGGCTGGCGCTGCCTCCTAAGGCCACTGTTCTCACGTCACAGAGCTGGATGCAGAGAGCACAGACACCCTCCCAGGGGCAGGGGGCGTCAGGCAGAGCGGAGACAGCGGCCTGGCTCTGCTCCTTCAACCAGAGGTCCCTGCAGGCACCTCGGACTCCGTTTCCCTACTGACATTGGCAAACCACCGACGCGGCATCTGCCAGGGGATGGCACCGCCCTGAAGTCTGAGGAGACTGGGGCATGGAGCAGGCACCCACGACGGAGCTGGGCGGAAGCCAGCATCTGCCCCAGGCGGCTGACCTCTGCTGCGGGTGGGATGCACGGCACATCGCCCTCCTCTTACAGTCAGCTGATCGAGTGAGAAACCCTGACAGAGCGCCTCGTGCGGAGGCCACATGCCGTAAGTGCTCAATGCAAGCCAGCATACACCTCTGTGGCCCTCCTCCCAGAGTGCTGGTGGGCCCTGTCACCCCCATGTCACCAGCGCTGTCTCTCCACCCAGCAGGGGCGCAGTACCTTCCCTGGGTGGTTGCGTCCTGCAGAGGCATCACCTGTTGGCCTGCTGCCTTCCAGAGCTGCACAAATAGCCACCGCTATGACCACTGGTACCACGTGTGTGCTAAGGAGGCACGTGAGCCAGAGTCACAGCCCTAACTGGTGGCAGGGAGGGTCAAAGTCTGTGCGCCCTCACACCGTACTTCAGCGCTGTGTCACCTCGTGGTTCAAAATGGGGTCAGCAGACCAGCGGTGGCCACGCCCCAGAGTGCTGGCAAGGCGGGGCTGCAGGCCCACTACAGCCCGGACCACAAGACCCCGGAGACCCTTGCGCCTGGGACCACCTGGAAGCACTGGTCTGTGACCCCACAGCGCAGCCCCAGAGACACAAGTCTGAACTCGACTCCAAGTCCCTTCTGAAGTTTGAGAGGCATCGAAGGAGCCCCAGCTGCTGCCTTCTCCCTGACCCGCCCTGGCCTGGGGAGGCCCTGCTGGCATGCTCTGCTCCCCACCCAGTGCACGTCTCCCACCCAGAGGCCTCCTCTCCTCACCTGCCAGCCCTCTCACCTGTCGCTCTCAGCAGTCTGAACAGGAATTTCTGTCATGAAGCTCCTGAGATGTCTCATCCGTAAGATGGCACAGGCTGCAGGGGATGGAGGTGGGGGGCATAGGCTACAGGGGATGGGGGGGCTGCAAGGCAGCAGAGCCCCCAGAGCAGACCCAGAGCAGGGGCCATTGCCTCCAGGCCCAGGAGCTAAGTCCCTGGAAGAGGCCCTCAGCCCAGAGGGCTCCAGGCTGGGCCAGGTCCAGGTCTGGGCTGGAGCTGGGGAGCCCCACCCCACCCGCCCGCTCAGGACACCGATCACCTCGCCCCAGACTGCTTACCTGCGTCTCACCTGCTCTATCCGATCTCGCATGACGTCATTTCTCACCTCACTGGGCACTTGGAAGATGCGGGTGTGGCTGCAAAGCACCATTCATACACTGGGGCCCCGCGTGCCTTCCCTACTGACTGGCACCAGAGCCCTGCGGGCCACAGTTCTGACGCCGCCGCGTGAACCTGGAGCTGGTCCCTCACCCACCTGTACCAGCAACACGAAGTGCTCTCTTTACTAACCAAGTGCCCCGAGCCACCCAGCCATCCTGGCAGCAAGTGGTCCTCAGGAGAGTCGAGGAGACAGAGGTTAAGCACCTTTACTGGAGCTGCACAGCGGGTCTCGAAGCCTTGGATTCAGCTCTAGCTTAATTACCAGCTCTTTATGGTCAGCACTGTGCCACACTCACAACGGTTCAGAGACCCTTCTAGACCTTTCTCAAAGAAGCTGCAGGTCCTCGCTGCTGTGTTTATCTCCCTGTTCCAGCCTTGTCCCTTTCTCTTCTCGGTCTACTTCCCACCCTTCAAGCTCCACATCCCGTTCTCCCCTAACAGATCCTCCACTCCAGCGAAAGCAGCCGGCCCGTCCCCCATCCTGTGCCCGTGGACCCCCTCCCATGCCCCCTGCACCCCCCGTGTCCCCTGGACACCCCCTCCCGGGCCCCCTGCACCCCGCCCCATGCCCCCCGGACATCCCTTCCTGTGCCCACTGCACCCCCCTCCCATGCCCCCTGGACACCCCTTCCCGTGCCCCCGGCACCCACTCCTGTGCCCACTGCACCCCACATTCTTATGTCTTGTGTCTATCGAAAGTGCCTTCAGGGTAGCACCTTGTTCGAGGTGTCTGGGGTTTTCCGTGTGAATTCGGCATGGACACTGCCTGCGAGGACCCACAGCCCAGCCCAGCCCAGGGGAGATAAACGTGCTCAGGAACACAGCTCACAGAAGGTGGAGCTGGTCGGTGCCCAGAGACGGAGAAGGAAAGATGGAGGCCCGAGGGGAAAGGGAGAAGAGGCCACAACACTGGCCCCAAGGCCAGACAGGGCAGCCAGGCTGCCAGGCTCTTGCCACCTGTGGAAGGCCCCGCCCAGACACGGGTCAGCCCAGGTGACGTCCTTCCAGGAGCACATCGAGGCCTGGGCAGCAAAGCTGAGAGCTTATGCAGCCTGGCCCCACACTGTGCTCACAGAGGTGTCCCTCATGGCCTCCGCAACACGTCCCTCTGCATCCAGACACTCTTTCTCTCAGTTCACTTCTATCCTTTGAAAGGGGCTGCGTTTATGCTCCTCTCTCTTCCGGGAGCCTAGGAAACATCGGGCGGACGTAAGCGTCTACCACGTAAATGACTATTGGGCGGTGCTGGATGGGGGTCTGCAACCCTGAGCTCGTACCTCATGAAACTATCAGGAGGGTCCCAAAACCAGTGGGTCGTGGAAAGAGCCAGACATCGGGTATCGGTTTAAGCTCTCCACAGAAAACCGAGTGAAAACTTGTACGAAGATAACTGACTGTGGTCCCTTGTCCCTTGGCTCCAAAGCTTTCACCCAGCGACACTACACAGCTAAGCTTTAAATACCGGAGGACCGTGTCCATGTTTCCAAGCCAAGGAACTGCAACACCGGAGTTTGCAGTGCAGCTGTGTCAGGCGTGGAGAGGCCTCCCACATGCAGGGCGGCGGCTGGACAACAGTCACCCACGCTTATGATTTGGGGACCCTGGAAGGTTTCTCAACCAAAAAGTACTCCCCCCCACAACCCGCCGCCAGGTCTGGAATTCCACCAGTCCTCTTATGTAACTGCCTTCCTCTTATGCAATCCCTGGGTATTTGAGTCTTCTTTTAAAATGCTAATGCCACCTGAAGGAGTAAATGCAAAAAAAACCTGTGTATCCTGAAGCAAAAACACATTTTGGATAAATATATCTTCCTCTAGAGAAGACAGCAAAGCTGCAATGGGGCCACCGGAGACCAGGGGGCTCCTTCACAGCCTGGGGGAGCCCAGTGCAGTCCCACAACGACCCTCCTGGGAAGAGAGACCCAATGGAACACGCATCCCGGAAGGAGATGGGAAGGCTTGTGCCCTGCGAGGGAGTGAGCCGCCGGCTCCCGGCTCGCGGCTCGCGGCTCTGGGCCCGGCCTCTCCACGTAGCCTGTAGCCTGCCGGGGCAGGAGGCTGGCGCAGCCCCTCCCCAGGCAGCACGGGACTCTAGCCTCGGGCTCTCAGAAACCTCTTCTCACCTCAGCGGAAAGTGAGGGCTTTGGGTTTTGCATTTTAAGAGCTTATTTTCTTTCAGCTCTTTAAAGAGCAGGCACTTCTGAACAAATCAAATGCAGAAATAACAGAAGTCTGAAATTTATTCAGGCGTTTAAGACGTGGTAAGCTAGCCCATTCTTCCAAAACCTCCAGTCATTTTAAACTTTAGGAGGGAACTGGGCTTTCAAGACAGCAAAAACATTCCCTTAAGACCCCAGAGTAACTCCCCGTAAGTCCCCATCTCTGGAGAAGGACGGCTGTGGGTCTGCGCCGGCCCTGAGTCCCCACTGCCTGGCTCGGGGCAAATGAGATACTTTACCTCCATCTTATGAACTGGATCCTTGTTCTTTCCTCCAGGACCTCCTGACTCTGGCTTTTTAACAAATCAGACTTTGAGAGGTGGTGCTTCACCTGGGAAGGAAATCCAGGCAGGGCCCAGCGGTTACTGCCCAGCAAGGCCACCGTGACCAGGGCGCAGCCCGGGCTGGGCAGGCTCCGCCCCCTTGCCAGGGCCCTCTGCAGCAGGACCCCATCTCCCCTCCCTTGTCCACCACCCCCAGGAGGACGTCTCCGTGAAGGCCCCATTACCACATCTCTGGTCACGTGCACATCTTGGCCGTGCGCAGGAGGGCAGCTGGCGGACATCTTCTCCTTTATGTCCTTGGAAGCCTCTTCTTCAGTCTGAAAGGTGAGCAGTTTCTCTCTCTGGTCCCCAGTTCTCCCTCCTCTCCCTCTTCCTCTTCCCTTTCTTCCTCTCCATCACAACACACACATCCACACACACATGTATCACACAGCTCCTGCAGTAAGCTCGTGGAATTCCAGGGAACTCACTAAGTCCTGGGCCCTCTCCCAGTGTCCTCCTGAGACACCCCTGGTGGGGCCATGCATCTGAAGCCCCCCACCCCGTGTGCTAGAGAAGCACGGCGATTCCCGCACGTCTTTCGCAAGGAGACATGCCATGTCCTCCAGGATGCTTGGTGGACTGGACACAGCTCTGGTCAGCCTACTGGGCGTGAACTTGGGTTTCCAGTTCCAGGGAAAGGGGAGACCAGCCCTCTAGGATGTCAGGGAGGAACCTTCCTCACCTTCTTCAGCCAGTGCTGCACTACAGACACAGCCTCGCTCTCCACCACTTCCACGTCCTGCAACAAAGTGGCAAGTCGATGTGCTCAGCATACACAGAGGCCAGCCCCTCCTCCCTTCTTAGCCAGTCAACCTTGTAAGACCTTCAACCTGGAAGTGCAGCTGGGGCTCAGAGGGGAGAGGACACCTGAGAAACTGTCCACCTGGCTACCAGCACCCCCACTTACCGAACTGACTTTTGGGGGGAAGGGGAACCCGGCACCTTTCCGGGCAAAAATGTACACAATCCATGTTGTAATGATCATCCTTGGACTTATGCCAGGCCTCCTTTGTGGCTCCCTCCTTCCATTGAAGCTGCCCGAGTGCTCCTCTGAAACCAGGCAGTCATTGGAGGGAGGCGCCCACCTGATTGGCTAGCCAATGATGATGTGACAATGACCTCCTTCAATCTCCAGGGCCAGAGAGGTTAGGAAGTGTCCACCATAGTGACTGATGGCCACAGCTCAGATAGGGAGAGCTGGGGGTGGGAGGTCAGGACACGAGCCCCAGGAAGACACAAAGGGACACACCACAATCACAGACAGAAGTTACGCGGGGTGGCTGACTGCTGGCCATCTGGTCTTGAGCAGTGCTGAAGCATACAGAGAACTTGTCAGTCAAAACAGTAAATCTGTAAACAAAATGACCTGGGCCCTCCAGACATTTGTTCAAACCATGCCACAGCATGTCTTACTCTTCCTCTTACACAAAGGGACAGAAAGGGCTTCTCCGCCCAGAAAACCTCAAAGGCAGAGGAGCAAAATCCCTAGCAAGGACATTTTCTTCATTTTCGTGTCTACTTTGTTTACACAGGTGCCTCACATCATAGAAAACAACCCAAACAACGAGAGGTAGAGCGTGAGACGTGAACGTGCCATTCCTCGTGAAAGACGCCTCCTGATTATTGAGTCTCGCATGGGGAGCTGCCAGTTGAAAGGGCAGCGAAGCGGAAGTGGGAAGGGGATGAGCTGCGACGTCCGAGTTGGGGGCACACAAGCCCGGGGCTCAGAGAGCCTTCGCAGGGAACTGAAGTTCAGAACATCCAACGCACACGTTTAGCTGCTCTCAGAAGTACCTGCAGCCTAACCCTGAGGCTGTTCGCAGGGTCCCAGAGGTGAGGGTTGTAATCCTGTCTCCACCACTAACTTGTCGTGTGACCTTGACCCAGTCGTCCCTGTTTGTCTTCAAAATGAAAAGAGTAGGCTCCTGTGTCTAGTTCTCTTCTAGCTCTAGCAGGCTACAAATGTTCTCATGCCCCTTCTTCTCAAGCGTGTAGAAAACCTTCACCTCACTCTCCCAGCTCCCCTACAACAGCCACTCTGTCTCCCCACTCTCAACAAATCACCTCCGTTTCACAGCCTCTCTAGTGGTCAGGGTGTGCCAGGCCATGCTGAGGGGACAAACAGGTCCCCACGTGAGAGCGTGTTTCTCACTCAACATACACGTAAGTTCAGGGTAGCTGTGCTCCATGTGGTGACCTAGAGATCAGGGGTGACCCTGTGCGGTGGCTCCAGGGTGTCAGGACATGAGCCCCGTGACTGCCCAAGCAAAGGAAGAGAACACCAGGAGAAACAGAACCAGCTCTTCTGTTCTAGCCCAAGGCTTCTTAAAAGCTTTTTAACCGGACTCCAACTGAAGTTCTAAAACTAGATGAAATCACTCACCAGCGCCTCTGCTGTGCGCAGCAGGGCCAGTGTCTCCTAAAAACTCTTTCCATCCTTACTGGTATTTTATTTTTTGAATATTTAAAACATTAATATTATTCAAAAGTTAAAACTACATGAAAGGATAAACTCAGAGAAGTTCTATCTCTGTCCCTCTCTTCAACCTTATTATTCAGAAGTAAGATTTTCATAGGTTTCTACGCTGCACATCTGTGTTTGTTTCCAAAATGAAAGATACATAAACCTATTCTCACTTTTTTATTACTATTATGAAATGCATACAGTAAAATATATAAATACATGCACAGCTCAGAAAAGACACGTGCACGCGCACACATACACACGTATATTTGTTTAACCATTACCCAGATCAAGATACAGAACATCCCCAGGACCCCAGCAGGCCCCAGACCCACAAGGGACCAGCATTTTGACCTCTTATCCCCGTAAATATTCTGCCTAGTATCCCACTGTGTTACCGTAACACGAATCACATATCAGACTCACAACCGATGGACTTTTGTGTTGCGTCCAGTTTGAGGCGTTTAACGCTGCTGTGAACATCCTTGTACCTGTCTTCTGCGTGACACAGGCACAGGATCTTCTGCACACACACCAAAGAGGGGACTTGCGCGGCCGCAGGCTTCACACACACTGAGCACATCAACTACTTCCTGTAAGTAATGTATGAGAGTAATAGCTACTGCATGTTTCTCCCAGCACTTGGTGTTGTCACTCTTTAAAGTTGAGACAGGTGACTGGAGATAAAATGATAACCAAGAAGAGTTCAATTTGCACTTAAGTAGTTAACGGTGTTAACTCTGTTTCTGAGGAGCTGTCAAAACCTTTTCCAGAGGCAGCATCACTTCACATCCCCACATGAAGACATGAGACTTCCAATTTCTCCACGTCTTTGCCAACGTTGTTATCACGTGTCACTCTGATACCAGCCATTCTAGTGACTGTGAAGTGCATCTCACTGTCGTTTTGATTTGCATTTCCCTGATGATTAATGATGTTCAGCATCTTTTCTGGTGCTACTGGCCAATGGTATATCTTCTTCGGAGAAAAGTATATTTAAATCCTTTGCCATTTTATAATTGAACTATTTGTCTTTTTATTACTGGGTTGGAAGAGCTCCTTACATATTCTGTGTACAGGCGTCTTCTCAGATACATGCTTAGCAAATACTTCCTCCCTTTCTGGGTTGTCTTTTCACTCTCTTGATTGTACCATTTGAAGAACAAAATGATGAATAAAGTCATCATTTATCACACAAATGATGAATTGGACTTTCCAGTTTATCTATTTTTACTTCTGTTGCTTGTGCTTTTGGTGTCACATCCAGGGAACTGTTGACTAGCCAGCCCATGGTCATGAAAACTTACTCCTATATTCTTCTAAGAGTTGAACAGTTGTAGCTTTTACAAATACATTTATGATCCATTTTTAGTTATTTATGGCATGGGGGGTGTCCAAATTTATTCTTTTGCATATGGAATCCAGCTGTCCCAGCCCCATTTGTTGAAAAGAGTTACTTTCTCCATTGAATTGTCTTGGTACCCTCGTCAAAAGTTAATTAACTATAAATGTAAGGGTTCACTTGTGGACGGTCAGTTCCTTTCCACTGAGTTTATACCTGTCTGTCCTTATGCCAGTGCCACACTGTCTTGATTACTGTCGCTTTCTAGTATGCTTTGACATGGGAAGTGTGAGTCTCCAATTTTGTTCTCCTTTTTGAAGACTGTCTTGGCTACTGCGAGTTCGTTGCATTGCCGTATGAATTTTAGGATCAGCCTGTCAAGTTTTGCAAAAAGAAAAAAAAAAGCCTCCTGGCATTTTGACAGGGATTGCACTGAAACTGTTGATCAATCTGGAGAGTATTATGTTCACAACAAGTCTTCCATCCCAAGAGCACAGCGTGTTTTTCTGCTTATTTGTATCTTCTTTAGTTTCTTTCAACAAAGTTTTGTAGTTTTCAATGTACAAGTCTTACATTTCATTCATTAAGTTTATTCCTAAGCACTTGACTCTTTTTGATGCTATTGTAAATGGAATTCTTTTCTTAATTTCATTTTTGAATTTGTCATGTCTATTTCGATTTTTAATATTAATCTTGCATCCTGCACCTTTGCTGAAATCATTGTAATAGTTTTTAGTGGTTTTCTGAGAATTTTCTACCTACAAGATCATGTCTTCCATAAATAGAGATGATTTCCCTTCCTTTCCATTCTGGATGCCTTTTCTTTCCTTTTCTTGTGGAACTGCCTGGCTGTGTATCATTAGATAGAACTGGATACAGCAGATATTTTCTTGCTCCTGATTTTAAAAGAAAAGCACTGTCTTTTATCACTAAGTATGGTGTTCAGTTAGGGGGTTTTGTAGATGCCTTTCATCAGGTTGAGGAAGTTTTCTTCTTATTTCTAGATTGAGTGCTTTCCTCAACAAAAAGCATTGGGTTTTGCCAAATGCTTCTTTTTTCTATACGATTTATTAATTTTTATCAAAGTATAGTTGATTTACAATGTTGTGTTAGTTTCAGGTTTACAGCAAAATGATTCAGTTATATACAGATATACAGATACATAGATATCTTTTCAGATTCTTTTCCATTATAGGTTATTACAAGATGCCAAATGTTTTTTCTGGATTTGAGATGATCATGTGGTTTTTGTCTTTCATTCTATTAATATTGTGTATTATATTAGTTTTTTTAACCATTTTTTGAATAGAAGTACAGTTTACAATGTTGTATCAATTTCTGGTGCACAGCACAGTTTCAGTCATACATACATGTACATATATTCATTTTCATGTTCTTTTTCATTATAGGTTACTGCGAGATATTGAATATAGTTCTCTGTGCTGTACAGCAGGACCTTGTTAATCTGTCTTATGTATGTCACATTAGTTTTTGATTTTCAGGTGTTAAATGAATCTTGTCCTCTTGGGATAATTCCACTTGTACATACTTCTTTTTATATGTGTAGGATTCAGTTTGCTAGCAGTTTGTTAAAGATTTGTAAGAGATACTCGTCTGTAGTTTTATTTTCTTGGATGGTCTTGTCTGGTTTGGTATCAAGGTAACACTGGCCTCACAGAATGAGTTGGGATATGTTCCCACCTCTTGTATTTTTTAAAAGAGATCACAAAAGGTGGATAATATTAAATATTTAAATATTCGGTATATATTTAACTTCTTAAGAAACATCAAACTCTCTCAAAAGAGGCTGTAGAAGTTTACGTTCCCACCAGCAACATGAGAAGATTTGAGTTTCTCCGTGTCCTCACAACACTCATGTTGTCTGTCTTTTTAAATCATGGCTATTCTAGTCGGTGTATAAAAAAATGTGACAATGAATATATGTTTGTTCATGTGTAACTGAAAAATTGTGCTCTACACTGGAATTTGACACAACACTGTAAACTGACTACTGCTCAATAAAAAAATGTTAAAAAAAATAAAGAGGTTTGTCATTTGGTTTTAGTTTGTATTTTCTTGATAACTTATAATGTCGATAATCTTCAAATGTGCTTATTATCCACATACATTTCACTTGGTGTAATATCTATTCAATTTTTTAAATTAGGTTGTTTGTTTTCTTTTTTGTTTTAAGTTCTTAGTATATTCTGAATGCAAGTTTTTTTATCAAATATATGATTTACAAATATCTTCTCTCATTCTGTGGCTTGTCTTCATTTTATTAGTATTTTTCAGAGGAAAAAGCCTTTGATTTTGATAAAATCAAATTCTACTTTTTTGATGCAGTATGCTTTTGATATCAGATCTAAGAACTCCAAGGTCATAAAGACTTTCTTCCTATGTTTTCTTCCATAAGCTTTATCATTTTAGTTCTCACATTTAGGCCTATGATACATTTTGAGCCATTTTTGTGTGTATAGCATCAGGAAGGATCTGAATATACCTTTTTGCATATCAATACATAATTACACCCGTATCATCTGCTAAAAAGACTATCCTTTTCCCACTTAATTTCTTTGGCAGCTTTGCTGAAAATTCAATTGACCATAAGAATTTATTTCTGTGCCTCAACTTCGCTGCATTGACCTCCATGCTTATCCCTACAGCAGCACCACATTGTCTAGGTAATCGTTAGCTTTACAGTAAGTTTTCAGATGAAGTAGTAAAAGTCCTCTTTTTTCCTCAAAAGTTTTCTGGCTATTCAAGGTCCTTTGAATTTCCATGTAAAATTTAAAATTAGCTTGCCAATTACTTTTTTTTAATCTTGCTGGGATTTTGATAGGCATTGTTTCAAAGCTATAAATCAATTTTTTCTAAGTTGCCTAATTTATTAGCATAAAGCCCTTCACAATATTCACACAGAACCTTTTTCAGTGGTGAAGTTGCTTTCAATTGTGATTTTGGCAATTTGTGTCTTCTCTGTTTTTTCTTGCTTATCTTAGCTGAATGTTTTTGTTTGTTAATCTTTTCAAAGACTACTATTCATTTACATTGAATTTCCCTATTTTTTTTCCTCTTTGGTTTTCTATTTCATTGATTTCTAATCTAATCTCTTTTTTTCCCTTTCCTTTTGCTTGCTTTGGAAGTAAATTCTGCTTCAAGAGTGCAATGTAGAAATTATGCCCAAGTTTCCAAACTGCTGGCCTGCCCTGCAGATTTTGGATATGCCAGCCCCCCCTGCAATCACATGAGTCAATTCCTTAAAATAAATCCCTCTAGTTAGATAGATAAATAGACAGATAGACAGAAAGACAAATAGATAATATAGATGTAAAGACGATACAGATATCCTATTAATTCCATTTCTCTAGAGAAGCCTAGTAATCAGAGCTTAGTACCAAGAATAGCCCCAGAAGAACAGAATCTGAAGGACAAGTTTTCTGAACTGACTCTGAGGGTTCTGGAATTGGTTCCCCAGTAGTAGAGACAGCACCGACAGTCCATGACAAGGTACAGCAATAGAGACACACAAAATACAGCCACTGGACATCTCTAACCAAATACTTGTAAGAGGTAAGGTTCTGGGTGACCTTGTATTTGATACTTTGGAACGTTTCTGTCAAACTGACAAGTATAATGAGTTTGCTGGTTGCTCCTAACTACAGCAGACAAAGCGGAGAAAGAAAAGGATGAGCCTAGGGACTCAGGTTCCCAGTCTAAGCACTGCATAAATGACCTCAAAGTGTCCACGGCTGCCCTGAAAGAAACCTTCATCTCCTGTCATGGTGCCAGAGTCTCATCCTGCAAGTGACTAAATTACAGCACAAGTTGAATTTCCAGCCTTACAAGGTGACTGCTGGTAACGTGAAGGTACTAACTGAGAAGTAATGGGATCCTGAAAATTGGAATGGGGACAGATGGGCAGGCCCTGATGAAGCTGGCAACACTGAGCTCCTAAACACCTGCTGATCTTCTCTGCCAGCAGAAGCAGTCCTTCCACCCAGCCTGAAGACACTAATCCCGCTCTGCCTGAGGAGACTGTGACGGCCTACCCCAGGCTACTTGCCTAGCAGGACACAGCCCATTGCCCCTCCTGGCTTCTACATTTATAACTGCATTTGTAACTGCACTCAAGTGCTGGCGGTCCTTAACAGGTGAGGGACAAAGTGTGACCCATGGAGAGTCACACTACTCTCCAAAACAACATGCCTTCCCCAGTTTTTACATATGTGAATCTGGGAATGTGTGTGGGTGAATAACAAGGGTGTAAGATAGTGAGGGAAGGAACCTGAAGCCAGACCTGGACAGATGTGTTCATATGGTTCCACCGAGCAGAAATTATCACTTAATAAGATAGCTTAAGGAGTCAGAAAAGGTGTTAACAGTCTGGTTGTTTGGCGTAAGGACGAGTTTTCTGAATGGCCATGTGGCCCAGGTGGCAGAACCACTGCTGGTGGTTTCACTCACAGGTGTTGAGAACAAAGCACCTGCCAGACAAATTTCTACATGTCACGTACAAGGGAATGTGCTACTTTGCTCAAGCAATGAAGCCACATCTGGAACAGCAGCTGAGTTGGGGTCACCACCCGATCAAGCTGGCAATCACCCACTGCCGTTCTCCCAGTCCTGCTGTCCTCGGCACAGACCAGAGGCAGGTCGATGTGCACGTGGTGGGAAACGCTGCTCCTGGGTCTTTCAGGTCCTAATGGCGTCATCAACCCCGCACTCCTCCAGAAATGTGGCGCTTTCGCTTTGCTCTCTGCATAGAGGCAGTCCTCGCAGCTTCCACCTGGCCATTCCCACCACAATAGCCTTTACTCTGCAGGTTAGGGAAGCAATGTAAGGATCCTCTCAGTTGCTCAGTGTTGGTGGCAGACAGGGACGCTACCTGGAACCTCTGGCAGCCCCTACAGGTGAGTCACAGTGGGAACCATTAGGATTTGGGAGCCAAGCTTTGCCATCGTCAGTGGATAGCCACCCCCCTTTTGATACACAGCTTTTGGTTTACTACTAGGCCCTACCAGAGACTGAGTGCTTAACCAGGGGCTACCAAGTTACCACGTGACCTGAGCTCCTCAGGAACCCGGTATTGTCTGACCCACAAGCTATGTAGCTGGGTGTGCACAGCAGCACCTCATCATCAAAATGGAAGTGGTGTCGTTGAGAACAGGTCCAGGCGGGTCCTGAAGGCACAAAAGAGTTACAGGGCTCAAATGCCATGGCCCCACTCCTGTGGCACTGCTTTCCCTCACCGCACACACCCGTAGCCTCACAGAGCGCTCCCTGCGATCAGCTGTCCAAGAGAAGACTCAGGCCTGATCACAGACGGTCCTGCGTGACATGCAGGCACCACCTGGAAGGGGCAGCTTCAGCCCTCTCTGCACGCCCCTGAAGGACAGGGTGAAGGCAGGCCCTCCAGCGGAAGCACCTGCAGCAGTGCGCCTGCTCGTGCACTCTGCCTGGAAGGCGAAGGGGCCAGGCTCGAGACTGTACTAACTCAGCAGCTGTGCCAGTGTTTTGGCTGGGTGGTCAGGGACTCAGAAGGAACATGATTGGAAAACTGGTGACAAGGAGGCCTGGGGAAGAGGTACGTGGACAGAGCTCTCTACATGGGCACAACACACAAAGACATTTGGGTCCCATGTGAGCACTCACCAAAGGGTGACCCCAGCAGAGGAGGATTTTGTTAATCAAGAGGATAAGATAACCCGTTCTTTGGACCCCATCCAGCCTGTCATCGTCCAGTGGATGCATGGACAAGGGACCATGGCAGCAGGGATGGAGGTGACACATGGGCTGAGCAACGCAGACTTCACCCACCAAGGCCGACCTGACTACAGCCACTGCCGAGGGCCTGGTCTGCCAGGACCAACATTGTCCCACAGAAGTGCCCTTCCCTGGCAGGGCGGGGGGTGGTCAGCCACTTGTCTTGGCAGGTTGACGGCACTGCCTACTTCCATTACACAGGGGACAATGCTTTGTTCTCACTGGAATAGACACTGGCTCTGGACATGGATTTACCCTCCCTCCAGACAGCGCTTCTCCCCGACTACCACGTGCGGACTCAGGGCGCCTCACCTACTGTCAGGGGTCAGGGTGTCTGCACAGCACTGCCTCCTACCCAGGGCCACCGGGCAGGTGAGGGCAGCACTGCGCCTGTTCTCCTGAGTTCACTCACCTCACCACCCTCCCACACCCCTCCAAGCAGTTGAGTTGGTAGAACACGGAATGGCCTTAAAGCCTCGATTCCCGCACCAATTAGGTGGCAGTACCTTGCAGGGCTGGGGCAACGCTCTCCAGGAATACTGTGGTGCACATCAGTGTCCCGTGCACTGTGTTACTCCTCCCATAACCAGGGTTCCTGGGTCCGTGAACCAAGGGCTGGAAACGGCAGGGCCACCGCTCACCATCACCCCCAGTGACCCAGGAGCAAAATGTTGTCTCCCTGTCCCCGTGACCCTATGCTTTTTCGGTCTAGAGACCTTAGTTCCAAACGGAGGGAAGCTTCCACCAGGAAACACAACGATCCCACTGAAATGGTAGTTAACACTGCCACCCGGCCACCTTGGGCTCCTCACGCCTCGGAATCAACAAGCAAAGGAGGGAGTTTCCGTGCTGGCTGGGGTGACGGGTCCTAAACAGCGAGAGGAAACTGGGCGGCTGCCCACAGTGGAGGAAGGTCTCCCAGCACTGCGGCCTGTGGTCAAGGTCAACCGGAAAGACAACAGCCCAGTTCGGGCAGAACTACTAGACGGCTTTTTGGTTTTGATTCTTCTATGCTTTACACCTACGATCCGGGTCCGAGTGGTTTCCCGTGTCCTGTCACGAGCTGTGCGTCAGATTCACGCCTCCCCCGTCCCGGGAAGACGCGGCACCACCGCAGCCCGCGGCTACGCGAAAACTGCGGTGCAGGTGGACCCGCACTCCTCACACCTGCGCTGCTGAGGGCCGACCGTCCACACAGACAGCGGTGCGGAGGCCGCGCGGAGGGAGGGGACAGAGGTTACCTTCGGCCTTTCAGCGTGCTCGCCCCCCAGGCCGCAGCTCGGAGGCCTCTCGCCCAGGAAGATCAGGCTGCCGGGTCTGCGGCCTCTCCTGTGCCCCACGGGCGGGGCCGCTGAAGAACTCCTTCCCACCGGTCACCCTCCGTGGGAACCAGGGCCCGGAGCGCGGGGGCCGCCAGAGCCAGGCCGTAGAGGCGGCCCCTGGCGGTGGCCACAGAAGCCGGGCCCAGACTAATCCCTCAGCCCTAAACCCCCGAGTTGTAAACCCCACATGTGTAAACCCCCCC